CTGCAAGAGAGAAATCATGAAGGCAAGAAATAAAAGAAAGAATTACTTAGATGAAGAGGGGGAAGAGGATAACTCAAGAGTATTAGGTGGGGTGAGGGGAATTTGTTGGGAAACGGAAAGGAGAGAGACGAGCATTGGGGAAGGAGAAGGGGTGTTGGGTGAAGAGTTATCAAAGTTGGTAACCGGGGAGAAGTTAGGGAAAAGAGAGGAGTCTCAATAAGAAGGAGACGAATTAGATGCGATGGAAGATTCACGTGTACACGGGGCACAGACTGGGGGATTATGGCAATGCTTAGCAGTGTGACCAATAGATTGACATACCTGATAACGCATAGGGTTAGGGTAGTATGGACGAACGTCAAGAATCCTCCAGGCGTCCTCAATTTTATCCGGGAGAGTATATTTATCGAAGGTTAACAAGATGGCGCCAGAAGGCTTACGAGTGCTATCAATAATTTTTGAAAATTTATAAGCAGCTGTTACTCCTCGTTCCTTGAGGACTTCAACTATTTCGTCTTCGGAAACGTGGATTAAGAAGGGCGCATAAATTCTGCCTTTTACCGAATTGAGGTTATTGTGTAACTTTATAGAAATATTTCCAACACCGGGTAATGTCTTAGCATTCAGGAACTTATCAGCAGCTTTCTTACTCTTAGCAAACAGCAATAAGCTGCATCGGCGTAGCCAGAATGAAATTTAGGGGGGGGGCTCGACCCTATTAAGCTGGCATTTCAGGGTACTATTACATATATATATATAAGGAAAATTTGAAAGTTAGGGGGGGGGAGGCCTCGAGCACCCCCCTGCCCCTACCTGGCTACGCTTATTAAGCTGCCATCACGAAGCTCACAGATGACGTTGCCCTCACTGCTTAGGGCTTGAATTCCTTTATGGATCGCAAAGCACGAAAAAGTTGTAATCGGTTTTTTATCATCAGATGATTTTATAATTAGGAATTTCGGGTCATCCTTTTTCATGATCGGAAGTCCAGGGAAAGGGTCCAACGGCGTTAAATCAGATTTTTTTCGTTTTGATTTCGGGAACGGAGATAACAGGGCATACCTGTTCTCCCCAAGGTAGGTGGCCTCC